GTAATATGCTATTGTTATTATGTTTTCAATATTTTCATATATTAGCCAAATTATTAATTAATTGTTTAATTTGACTTTTTTTTTTTTCTAACTTTTAAAATTTCGAATTCTTTAGTAACACTGGATCTTCAAAATCATACGCATCCTCCTATCATCATCGTCATAATCAATGCACCAGTGATAATAATAATGACGAAAAAGCTCCTTTATTATCATTGGATGAAGACGAAGACTTGGAAGCAGCAGGTGATGATGCAGAAGCTTTAATGAAAAAGGTAACCAATTAATATTTCTGTATCAGTGTATCATAAAGCAGAATGACCGGTTTTTCAAGTAAAACTTCGTCTAGAGTTTTCATTATGCGCCAACCAACTAATACAAAAAGTAAAATCAAGCAACAATAATAATAATTCACTTTTTCAAATAATTGTAATAGAACGAAGTGATTCGATCTGCTATCGAGAAAATAAAAAAAGTTACAGAGGAACAAGAAAAAGAATTACGTTACAAAGAGGAAGAACTTCAAGAATTATATGAAACATTTGCTGAATTAAACAATAATGACATGATTTACAACAATAATAATGAAATCCAATCATCCACACCATCATCCTCATCATCCTCATCCTCATCGCCATCTTCATCATCCACCTTATCATCCACATGCTCGTCATTGTCACCTGTAATTAATCGATTAAAGTTAGTAAATATTTTTTGTAACAAATATAAATTAATATAATAATAACTTTACAAATTATTAATAATAATATATAATATTTGTATTTATTATATATATAAAGAATAATAGGATGTTTCATCGTCATAATGCTCTTACCAATTTTATTGATAATGTTATTAGACACGTATGTTCAAGCCGGTAATAGACCTCTAATCGATTAATTTATCAAACCAATGAGCGAAGATTACTAACACGAAAAAAGACGATGATTTTATCAAATTCCCATTCTTTCAATCATCTTTTAACACGAAAAAATATTTATTTATAAAAAAAAACGAACATTTTGAACAATTTTTTTCATTCTTTTTTAAAAAATATTTACAAACTTTGATTTCTCGAAACAGTAACGGGATTTTATATTGTGTCATTGGTATCTTGTATTTGGTAATTATTAGATGGTTGAACATCTTTATTTATTTATTTTTATATTTTTATTTGTTTATATTTATACAGGACGTGATTATGGTAAATTTATGGATTTTTATAATCAGCGATAATTTGGTGTTTT